ATTTACTTGAAAAAAAAAAGGCTTCAAAGGTAACTATTCAATATCGAAGATGATTGCAAGCAGACAGATAACGTTGATAAACGAAAATGGCAGCTGTAACATTCCTCGATGCAATTGATTCACTATGAAATAAATCACGAATCGTACTGTTCATTTGCACGAATTCGTTTTACACTTGTACCGATACATTCGACAATTTTACAATATGTATCAACAAACAAAAAAAGAATATACAGCCGAAAGTGGTTTAACAGTAATTTAATTCAAAAAGGTGAAACCCATGCGATTAAAGGACGGCAGCAGGTGATCAATAATGGAGTTCGATATTTTAACGTCTTGCGTGAACATTGGATACTCCGATCTGGCATTAACTTACGTTCGTTATATAAATTTTTGGCAATTTCGACGCAAATTCGCGAAATATTTAAGCTCGTGACGAAATCGAACGATGATAACAGTACTCGAAAATATTTTGCCGCGTTGAATGTACAAAATTGACGTCAAATATACGGGACCAAAAGAAAACAGGTTTTTGGAATTCACTCGACGGTAGCAAAATCACGCGATATTATTCATCGTGCTTATTTCTGCAATCACGAAACTCCAATTACATCGAACAATTTATACTGAACTAGAATATGTGATACGAAGATATAATATGTTGAATCATCGGAAACATTAGAATTAAAGAGGAACATCGTTCCCATGAATGAGGAATGAAGGATTTCTCCGATCCTTGTAGTTAAATACTGTGAAGAAACGAAACAGAATTTAGCGAGAAGATTGCCATGCGACTCGATACGTTACAACCACATTGTGGATGTTTATGCAAATATCAATTTTTATGGATCAACTTACGGAAAGTAGAATCAAACCGAAATCTGTTCACTTTATAGTAGGGTCTACCACGTTTCGAATAAAATGAAGATCTCACTGAACTTCATTAAACTTTTTCCTATACAGAGTTTTACGCAAGTGTGATCGCTACAAATGAATAAAGTTATGCGAGTCTAGTTACAACACACCAGCGAACCTCTACTCGTCGACGATGTAGAATTTTTCTCCCGTCACCGATCACGTTTGCTCTGTTCGAGCCTCCGACTGTCGGTATCGCGAAGCTGGAAATGAATCATCCGTTTCCAGGAAGCAAGGAATTGCGATTGGCACGTAAAAATGCACCTACACGATAGAAGTACAGGTTTCTCGTTGATTCGTCATCAAAGTCAAGAAAATCAATAGCGATGACTATTTCAAGTAAATGGATCGAAGCGAAGAAATCGGTGGATCGATGTGGCCAAAAGAAGAAAGCGGTCGTTCTTTCGGCGTATCGCCGGGACAGAAATGGCGACCGGCGCGTCTGCTTCGGCCATAACCACAAAGTAACCCATCCCGTACCGGTTCCCGAGGAATCGTTGACATTTTTGGAAGGCAGATACATGCACCGTATGATATTTACCATTTCGTGATATCGTAGCCGGTGAGAGGAGTCACGTAAACAAGCACTTTTAACCTACACTTTCACGAGAGCCTCGGTTCTGGTGGAACTGGATAGGCGCAGTGTCCAGTCGCGGGGGTCGCGGCTCACGAACGAACGAACGGGAAGGGAGGCTCCTCTCACAGCGCTCACAGCTAGCTTTCTGCAAATCCTGTATCCCTACGCCTGCGCGCGCGCACTTCTGATTAACTCCGTCTTGATTGGCCAGCCTGTGACTAACGAAAATTCGCGATTCGATTTACCCAGGCTTTTCACGTAAAAATTCATAATGAAGCCGTGCACTTCGATCACTGTAGTCTTTTTCATGATGAAGTAACAAATTAAGTTTGTTCCAGTGCGAATTTTGTTTTCGAGCCGGTAGGACCATTCCAGTGCGCAGGCGTTGCACGATGCGGTCATGCCGGTTGTTCATATAGCTTTTAGTTTCAATTGGAATACGGTTTTATTTTGGATTATCTTAAGAATACGATCGATTGGTAGAATCAATGATATGTCAGAATAATCGTGGGGTTGATTTGATTAACAATAACATGTAATTTACAAGAATTAATCATCGATACGAGCTGCCGGTCATACTAGCCAATCATCGTGAGGGACGTGGGGAAATTACCTTATATGGGCAGCGGCATGCAAGCGACCACATACAGACGTCGCGCGTCGTTCCGTGCGCATGCTGCATACTTTGCGTGCGCACGACGCGCAACATCGTTAACAGTTTCAAAACACGCTAATCGCGGCAGCACAATACCAGATCGGTGGTAATCATGTCACATTATGTGCGCTCGATCGGTAAGTGTGCTAAAATATTGTACAACTTGGCCACATGCACTTTTGACTATGAAATAATTCTGAGACTTAAAATCGATATTATTTTGCTTTGTGTATTAAATTTCTTAAGTCATACCGAATCTAATGTAGTATTGAAATAAAAATATTACTAAAATCATAATTACCGGTCTCCGACTTTTACATATTCATATGTACATATATGTACTCAATGTGATCCTAGAACTTTATAATTTACAAACCACTTTACATACATAGTTGAACATAATGTATAAAGAGTTTATGAATATGATGAAATTAATCAATATCACATTCTACTCGCTAACTCAAGTGGTTTTATTATTGCTTCCGACTCGAGTCAGTGTCGTAGCATTGTTCCTTTTATCAAAATACGTATTGTCATATGTACGTTTTTGTTTAACAAATCTTATTCTTAATAATATTTCAATTACTAAATCTAACAAGGAACGTACAAATTTATAAGATACTGAAAAGGAACTTCATTATTGTGATCTGTATACATATTTATATTTTACATACCTACATCTTTTAAATTGCCCCTGTAATGATGCTTTGTAGAAAAAGAATTCAAGATATATTGACAACCGTAATGAAGTAAAAATGCCACAGAGTTACCAGTAAATACATATTGATGTGCCATTGCAATTTTATTAAATTTTCTTAATTCCTTTCTGTCAGAATTACAAATATGTAATTGAAAAATATCGGTGTGAGACAGATACTTTATGTTTTCGTATAAGGTCTCGATATAAATACATATGAGACTGCAAATGTTTATGCAAATTCACACATGTGTCTGTTTTAAGGAATGGTAATTAAAGATAATTTAAAAATTCTTTATTTTTTTCTACTGATGCTTTAATCGGATTGAAAATACAATGAAAAATTTGATTAACTTTGCTGAATCTTTTATTTTATAGAGTTCTATAAATCTGTACTTACATCTGCATCATAATATCCACTATGCAATCGTGAATAATTTTTATCATAAAACTTGTACATTACTCAAGCAATTGTTGCATTATAGTTTAACTGAGTTAAATTGAGTTTTCATTAAAGTTAAAAAGAAGTTGTAAACATAACTAATTATATGGTTTTGAAATGGAAAAATTGGAATACATGTAAGAATATTTGATAAATATATTTCACTTTAAATATAACAAAATATGACTAGATATTATTTCTGTATATGTACAGTGAAATACAGGATGTAAAAAAGTGTATAGAAAATGAAATATAATACATTGCATATATATGTCTTAAAACTCCATTTAATACGGTGAAAGATTTTTTTAATACAGTTTGTCAGTTTCTTTTATATCAATTACATAAAATCGTTAGTATTACATAATTTTTGTTAATTTATAACAATATACAATATAAAGTAGTGAACAAAATTACAGTCTACAAGCTTTTAAGCTATAGACTAATGAATACTGATACAGTGTATACTACGTTGTAAATATAAAAGCTGAGTATTATAAACAATATGTACCTTCTAAGTTTTAAAGTATATTCTATCAGCAAAACATAATTATGTACTTATAAAATTCATTTTCTTTTTCCAGATAATTTAATTCAGCTCTTAGTTTTTTCAAAATATAAAATATGAGATTCTCATCGTGTAAACAAAAATATGAGTTTCTCTACAATTTTTTAATAATATACTGTTTAAATGCATGTATTTACAATTTTGGCAAATTTGTAGATAATGGCAAACACATGCTGTATCATGATGATACATTTTATACGTTAGCATTCTATATTAATATACGTATAAGCATTTATTATATTTGTAAATTATCATATTAAACAAGTTCTGACATCTTGGATAAATAAAATTTTATATGAAGGTTACATATTTTAAAATAAATATTTTTTTTCTTCACCTATTCTATTATGTAAATAAGTTTTATGTAACTATTAGAAAATGCATCTTCTTAATGCAAATTACAAAACTTTATTTATTCAAGACATCATACGTATAATCACAAGTAAAACGAACAATTTAGTGACAGATGGAATACACGATACGATATCTAGCACTTTGTAGACTAATAAAAATTCTAATTTGATACCTAATTTTATAGAATGAAGTTAATAATAATTTGATAATTAAAATTAAATTATTATACGAGGGAATAGTATACATCTAAAAATGTTTTTATAGTTATTTCATAGAGCTATATATAGATATGTGTATATATGCTTATACAGATAGCTATATATAGCTATTAAATTATTTAAATTCTTTAGAGAATATGTACAAATATTTATTGTAAAACATGCTGAAGCTTTCATAGCCAAATTATATTGGCAGTAATTTGCAGTGTAATTAACAGTTAACACTGTAGAAGAATAAAAAAATATCAATAAATATGATATTCCTACAATGTCTTATTACTATGTATTAGAACTACTTATTCGTCATTATTTTTTATTAAGATATAAATAGTTCTGCACTTTAAGTTTATAACTTTTCTTTTGGTGAGGAGAAAAGTATTCATACTTCTGACAAAATATAGAAAACTCGCATCACTGAATTAGGAAAGCAAATGCAATTCCAAAGTTCTTAAATAATTCAACTCATAATACTTTCTTTAAGTACTTTTTAAGTGGTTTTTACGAAACAGAACACACCTTCATGAACAATGAAATTGCATTCTTTCATGCAGAATGCAATAATTATGACCTCGGAAATATAACTATATGGTAGAAACTACCTATATCCTTTCTAAAAGAAGGAGATGTATAACAAAAGATAATATTACACGAGAACTATAAATAAGCTAGTTTCTCAGTCAACTGATACAAAATGTTGTCCTTATTTTTACAATTAATCAGGTTATCGAAGGACTAAGGTGCATAGTTCCACGACTACACGATTATGTTTACAACTTATCCTTCCAATATTTTCCTGATATCTAAACCTAAAAGAACGTTAGATGAGTCCCCGTTTTTTTTTATAATCTTCTAAATTCAGTGATCGTCGAGGTCCTGTGTCTTTAATATTGCTAATAGGCTTCGGCAGTACACTAACAGGATTGTCTGAAAAAGATACATTATATATAGGTTTATGTTAAATGTTCTCAGAAAGAAATTTTCCTCAAAATATACAATAAAAAGTTTTTCTATGCAACTTACTTGGAATTGGTACCTCCAAATCAATTGTTATATCAAAGTCATGAGCATTGAATAAATCCTCTGTACTTTGTTTTTTCTTGCTATCTTGTCCATTTTCCTTTTCATTATTTGTTGTTATAGTGTCAGCTTGTTGGGTAGCTGTCTTATCATTCACCGGAGCAACAGTTGATACGTCGTCGTCTTCTGGTTTGTAAACCATTCTTGGTTTTGTGCTACGTCTAGTAAACGGATCATCCACCTTTTTACCTTTATTAGCTTTTATTTCTTCCTACAATATGAAAAAATATACAATATTTATATAAGCTAATTAAGCTTCAATATTTACATATTTTACAGAACATATTAAATTACCATAATAGCTTTTTCGGCTTCCTCAACATTTTTCTTTCGGTTACGGTCATTAATATAAGATATACTAGAAATTGTAGCCGTTCGCATTTTATCAAGCTCAGAAGCACGTTCTTCAAGCTCGCTTAACTCTTGATTCAGTCGAGTAGCAGTTTCATCGTCTCCTCTACAATTAGCTGCATCTCTTTCCCGCATAAGTTGAGCTTTCTTCATCGCATAATTATATGGATTCTGTTTAAATCGTTCCTTTTCTCGTACTATTTTCTCTATGTCTTCTTCTTTGAATTCATAAACTAACGCTTCCTTAATGTCTTTCAATTTCTGTTCAACTTCCTCAAATGTGGGCATAGATATTCCTTGCAAAGCACAAGTTTCTTTCCATTTAAAGAATTCAGACTCCGTGAATTCTTGATTTGACACAAATTCTAATCTAAACACGCGTTCCTGAGCTCCGTGCCTCAGTTTCAGGCCTTTATTTGTTCTTGTACCACCAAGTTGATAAATTTTTCCTGTTTCACAGACTCCACTAATTTCAGCTACTCTATAAACAGGTTTACCATTATTATTTCCAATGCCAATTCTGACAAAGCAACCTTGTACTACTCTATCAAAGAAAGGTAAGTGCACGAATCTTTCCATTTTGTGACGAGATAATCTGATTTTGTTCAGATCTTCCTTGGTATTAACATATATTGGTTTCTTCGGTTTGGCCTTATTACTAGTAACAGACCTGTAAAGTTTTAGAATCACAATTAAAAGTGAATACCACTATAACACCACAACTTTATCTTTAAAAATCAAGTTACTGACTTTTTATCATTATCAGAATCGGAATCTCTACTGTCACTTGAAGATGATCTGCGATGAGAAGATGGCTTAGCAGTTTCTTCATCTTCACCACTATCCGATGAACCACTGTCATCTGAATAAATATCAGATGCCTTAAGCTTTGTTTTATTTGCACCTCCTTTGTGGTCATCCTCTAATTCCTCTTCTTCAATATCCTTTGATTGTTGTTGTTGTTGTTCTATCCTTTGTTTTTCCTTCTCCTCTATAAATATATATAAAGTGTCCATTAAAAAATGGTAATCTTTTTATAAAGAAATAAATTTAGATGATCCTCAATTTATATATTATTTTACCTCTCTCTTTCTTCTCCTCTCTTCTTGCTTTTAAGAGAGACATTGCATGGAATTTTTTATCTTGTTTCTCTTCTATTGTCTTCTTACGATCTTTACTTCTTTCTTTAGGATCTGGAGCTCTATCTACTTTCTTCTCTTCTGTACTCTTTTCTTTCTTTCTTGATTCTTTTTGCTTCTTTAATTCCTGTTTTTTGGCCATTCTCAGCTTCTTTTCAATCTCAAATCTTGTTTTCATTATCTCACGTTGTTCAATACGTTTGAAGATTTCTTGTTCACGTTCTTTCTCTGTCATTTGAGCAAGTCTTGCCTGATCTTCCGCATCTCCCATCAATTTGTCATCATAGCCATCATTAAATTCCTCTTGGCTAGAATCAGAAACACTAGCATCTGAATCTGAAACTTCACCTGAAAATATAACATTATTATATAATTTCATACAGCTGTAAATGATATTAAAATTTAATGCAAAAATTACCTTCTTCTGGTTCAGAAACTTTTTCAGGTTCCTTTTCACTAGCACTTTCTTCACTACTAGATTTCGTCATCTTTCGTTTATTTCTCTTTGCTGGCACTTTCTTTTTCTTATTTTTACCAGCCTTTGTACCCCAATCATCATCTGAATCAGATGTGTCTGAATCATGGTTTTCTTTTTTGGTAGTTCCAGTGTCTTCATTAGATTGAGAATCATCTTGAGTTTTGCCTTTCTTCTTTTTGGCAAGAGATAACAAGTCCTAATTTAACAGACAAATACCTAATTAGAAATTAAATATTATTTATATACTGAATAAGTATAATATATATGCTACACAATAAATTTGACATGTAAGATCTGGGCTGCTGATTTTATGTACTTGTAACATATACAATAAATTGTTATATTTATACATCATTTTGTTAGTATGTTTCTTCTTTAAACTTTCTTACGACCATCACTATATAAAAACTTGAACCTACTTATATCCGTTAGCAATACAACAGGTTATGTAAAGTACTTTTTCCCGCGAGTATAGTTTACAATAATGCGATCAAAATTTACAAAAGTGAATTCCGTATAAATAACATTATTATTAATATCGGGCCGCTCAATTTTCAAAGAGCAATAACTGAATTAAAAACGTAAAGCAGCCGATATGTGACACGAGATTTTTATAGTAAGGTTATACATGATTTACATTCTCTAGATCCGAGCCACTTTCCGATGCACTGCCACTACTATCAGAATCTATGAGGGCCTGATTCTTTCTCTTTGGCATCGTCACACAAATATTTGCACGGAGATCGTGAAAATTGCACGCCCTCCTAACAAAGACAAATCTAACGTCATACAAGATACAATAAACTAGGAAGACGCGTAGAACCGAAGACGTTAAATATCCACGCCGATACAGAACAATACAGAATAGCGTTCACCAGCGTTCACCGCGCCACACACTATTTTATCAACTTTAAACATAGAGTAGCAGTGATACTTTACGAATGCTCTCTGGTGCTCTCTGTTATACATTGTTGAACGTACATATATACAATTGTTATACGTTATTCCCTAATGTATAAATTAAAGAGATATTTTTTTTATAATATTTCTATTCTCTTTTATATATTAATGCTCATGATATGATTCGTTCAATGATCCAGCAGGTGCTGGCGTATCGATGATAGGAATATTTTCTTTCATTGCACTGGCAATCGTGGATGTTGACACTTTTTGCCGTCAATGGCGTACGATAGACGCACCTGTGTCGATGTGTCAGAGAAATTTTCTACTATATTGGATTTTGTATGACGTTACCGTCAACCAGTGAAATGTAATTATAGGAGTGTCATTCACGAATTAATTGTGATAGATCGTAGTGTTGTAGAGAAGCCGAGCATTCTAATTACGGATGTTTAAAATTAGAATGCTCGATGGCTGTGAATATGGAAGTAGACAAGAGCATGTCCGAAGAGATTGACACTCAGCTATCGGCGAGCAATTCAATAGAATTTAATGACGGCACTCGTCGGAAGGACAACGAAAATGTACGAGATCTCGAGCATTCTTATTCGTCCCCTGAAAATAAAACATTCGACAGCGACAAATGCGATCGTACCATTATATACACGGAACTGGACGATCCTGAAATTTACACGAACGATTTAGACGGTAATCGAGTATTAAAGAATGAAGAAAAGGAGGACAGCATAGAGAATAAAAATAGAGAATTATCCGAAGATACGAAGATTTTAAAGAATGACTGTAAGGATCAGCGATCGGATACAACATCAAAAAATTCCACTGATAACCATGTGTCTCAGGCTCCATTAGCCTTTACAATTGATTTTGGTAACAAGGAAGTTGATACAACAAGATATCAAAACTTATTTGAAAGATACAGTGCCAGGCACAAAAGAAATCTTTCCACATCTAAGGTAAATTATATTATAATAAAAGTATATATTTAATTAAAGGTATATGAAACATTAATTGAAGTCACTAAAATATGAGTAAATACAGAAAAATATGACTAAACCAGAAATTAAATTTTCAGGTAGAAATTAACACAAGAAAAAGTGGCACTTCTTTTTCTTCAAAATTACCACAAAAACAAAAAGTTTCTAGTACACATTCTGAGGGATACTTTAGTAGTGAAGATGATACAAGAAAAAAAACAGATCAGTTATCGGAGAAACTTAAGCAGCTAGGTAATTAATTTCTTTTAAATTATTAATCTTTTAAAGTATTTTTTTTTAATTTTTTAAAATAATATTTATGTCTTTGGATTTGATTAAATAACAGGTATTAGACAATGTTTTTTAGTTTTTAACATAATATCAGATGAGTTATATGAATTAAAAGTTAATTCTTGCCACAAATATATACTTTATATCTTTCTTAACTCTACTAATAAAACAGTTCCAACTTCCAGCACAATTTAATAAATTTGTCTAGTAAATATATGTTAAATGTATAATGGTTGAAGTAATGCTTGACTTTATTTTCTAAATCATTGAAGACCGATTCCTTTTGAAGAACAAATTCTGTATAATGGAAGGCTATATCTGTAATGTATGAGTCATGATGAAGTCACCTGTACTATGCTTTTTAATATTCTTCTCATGTATCTTCGATATGTTCACAGTATGTAGGCTGCCACCACATTAATGATTTTAATATCACACCCATATTAAAAGAAATATTAAATCAACAAAATTATGCTTTTTGTGTTTTAATATTAACATTAACTTTACCAATTTATTTATTATTTTACATTTTATTCTTGTATCATTATATTTCTGTCTTGTTTCTGTGTGTAATATTTTATACAATTGCAACAAATTTCATTTTTTAGGTTCAAAGTCGATATTAAAATCATCTAATGCTGGAAAAAAATCTGAATCCAGTGTGAAAGTATCAAATTTTCAAAATAAACAAGACTTGATGACTAGATCGTTTGAACAATCAAAACAAAATAAATTTCCTCATCAGAATCTTTCATTGGAACTTAATTACATGGAAAAAACAAATAGACCATCATACTGGTTACCTCAGAAATCTGCCACTATAAATGATTTAAGTCGAATTCAATGTAACAATTATGATGATACTACTGGTGAAAAGATGTATACAAAGAATATAGATCAAGAAGATGATTACGAAAATTCGTCAGACAATGAAAAAGTCTCAAACATCAGTTATGCTAGAAACAAACATATTAATGCAAAGGAACACAGTTTATCTAGTGTTGGATATACGCTGGAAGTAGATCCAAATGAAACAGTTGAGACCAACATAGATGCTTTTAATGTCAGTAATATTGATGCAAGATCAGATGGTGGAGTCAGTGAAGCAGGTACATATACAATACACAAAGACTACACTGATGAAGAAAAAGCAAGAATGGATATTGATAAAGTATTTAGTGTTGGCATTTTAACTGAAGGTGAAAGCAATGAAGCATGTATTCATAGCTTTAAGGTAAATCATTTAAAAACTAACTATTATATACTATCAACAGTAAACACTAAAAATATACTAAATATAATAAGTAACAATATTTCATTTAACAGATGAGTGTTTCAAGAGACAATAGTACATGGATATCAGAATGGGCAACTCAAGTAGCGGAACATAATTCTCTTCCACCAGCAATTGGTGGACCAACTGGCCGTACTCCTCCTCTGAGTCCTTCCAAGATACCATCTCCTATTCATACTAGATCTCAAAGACTCTCTCGTAGTCGCAATGTATGTCCTTATTATATCTCCATTCTTCTTTATTTTTTTGATGAAAGATAAAAATATATCTAAAGAAATATTGTCGCTTATATAACATCCAGGGTTATCATATTTAATCCTTTTGTGACTGAATTACTTTTCTAAAGAATTCGTTACGTGTCTACCGATCATCATGTTTGTAATGGATACTAAATTGAGATCAATTCTTTTTCGAGTATTTAAGTAGGGCATACATATCCCACTGGCCTCGGAAGGTTCGAATGAAACCACACATTTGTATTCACACCCATTGAACTTTTAGGAACAAAGTGACAGCAGCTTGGATGCGGAATCGTACTTGCGAATAAAAGAAAGAATTGGTTTGGTGTCTAACCAACATACACTTATCGATTCTGGAGGAGAATCAGACGACGACACCAGTAACAGTTACAATACCCCTCCACATAGCTCGCAACGGACACCGGTACACGGTGCGCTAACTAGGCGAGGAAGCTTATCTGAATCTCTCTTTAGAAGAATTAATACGAGTGAAACTAGGAGAAGTCTTCGGAAGTATTTGAATTCAAATAAATCTAAGACTGAGGATGCTAATGCAGAATTAAGTAGTCCGTCCATAGATTTTGCTTCCCTTCATTTAGGAAGACGAAGTAGTTCCTTGGATAGGTAAAATAGCTATTATTACACATGAAAATTCAGTCAAAATTTTACGGTTGTAAAATTATTCTTAAATATTTCTTCTGAACATTTCAGGAGAGAATATACATCTGATACAACTGAATCTAATACGTCCAGGAGAAGTAGTATGAAGAATTTCCAAGATGATGAAACTAAATATACAACGAGCCCTATTTTAAGCCGTCTAAGACCATCTACACCAAAATTAACTAATAGTCCGATTGTAAGTCGGAAGACAGTTACAACAATTGTTAATTCGCCTATGCTAGAAAGAACTAAGCACTTGACGAAATCGTCTCCGCAAGCGAAAAATATTGGGTATTTTACTTGTGTTGAAAACAGGTGAGCACACTGAATAAGAACCTTCACTGTTTCGTCTATAGTCTATGTATTAAATATCTGTGTTTTTTTTTTAAGTCCATACATGTTAAGGAAATCTAATAGTACTGCAAGTTACCACGAAGGAAATACTGGTTTTAATAACAAAGATACTCTAACGAACTCGAACAGTGTTCTTCAAAATAGTCCAAATCTTCAGCGCAATGTAAATATCCAAAGATCATGCAGCAATGCAAATATCAGAAATATCAAGTCACAGGGTCAGTCCTCGCGTCGCAGTAGCTTTAACAGTAGTGACATAGATAGAACATCTTCCGGGGGAAGATGTCTTGTTGCTTCCGACAGTAGCAGTGAAACTGGTGAACAGCAAATAAAATCTTTCGTAGCATCAGCATCGTCTGGAATTAAATTGAATCGAGCGTTCAGCATAAGAAGAGCTAGGTACTTTAAAAAATTTCACAAACACAGTAGATGGAGTATAACGTAATCTAAACTGTGTATCATCTTCTGCAGATTAAATTGTGAGTCTGACACAACTCCAAATACAACTCCAGAAGAAAGACGTAAAAGAGCACAAAGTGAAGTGAAAACAGTAGCTTCTTCGGTAAACAAACAACAGAATTATCATCGAAGTCGTGCAAGCAACATGAATACACATAGTAAGGAACCTTTAAAAAAATCAGAACCTACAAAACCTAGAGCTGTATCACTATCGAGAACTGATAGTACTAGACTTAGTATGAGAGTACCAAAATCAGTGCATGTAAGTGTTGCTGATATCTAATTTAGTAGTTTCCATAAGAATGTAAATCGATATCGATTAAAATTATAAAATTATATTTAGCATGCCACCATTACACAGCGACCCAATCAGAAAGTAAATAAAGATCAGAAGTCTGGTAGAAGTAATTCAACTTTAACATCAAAGGAAGTAGAATTTCAAAACTGGAAAAGAAGAAAAAGTTATGATCCTATGAAAGCAGCTGCTGAGGGAAGAAAGAAATTAATAGATAACTCGAAAAAACATCACAGTACAGAAGATAGTACAGGAAAGTAAGTACTTGCTTATATGTGTTTGAAAATATTTGCCACACATCAATTTTATTTTTACAACAATTATTACTATTACAGACACGATAATTCTGTATTACGATCCGCAAGTTTTCATGGAACTGGTGGCACTCTTTCATTAGCTAATGAATGGTCTGACAACGAAATAAATTTTGCTCAGAATGACAATCAAGTACCTCCACCATCTAGTCCGCAGTTGGTAAGCATATACATATGTATTGTAGAGAAAGAAAATGTGTTTCTATTTTAGATAATTTTTACTCAATTTTTTGTAAATAGGAAAGCGATAGTGATCTAGAAACATCGTACTATTTACAAGCAACGCAAAATGTTGTATCAGCTATGTCAGCTCGTATTACAGTCCGTCGTTCACCTTTAGTGGATTCAGATAACGAGAGCGATGAAGATACTAGTCACAGTCTGCATAAAAATATGTCGAAAACATTACATCAACCTAGCGATACGGAAAGTAGTGATGATCGCCAGCCTAACAGGCAGAATGTTATTTCAAACACTAAATATAATAGGGCATTTAGGTATTTATTTATAGTAAACGTAGTAATGTTTCACCAGTTTGTATTATATATTTTTCATAATCTATATACATGCTAAAACTTTCTTTACAGTTTACGTAGGGCCAGATTAGAATCACAACCAACAAAATTACCAACAAATATAAATAATAAGAAGTTAGTGACGCATGACACTAGAGGAAAATCTGAGTCCATCACAAGTATCAGTAGAACTGATTCTGGACGTTTTAGTATGCGATCAAATAGAACTTCAAATACGGTATGTATTTCATTGTTTAAAGCACAAATTTTGAAATATTACTACAAGCTTATTCATTTTAGGGTCCTAAAATAAAACCAAAGGAAACAAAAAAATCTGCAACGCCAAACGCAAGGGAAGTTGAGATGCAAAATTGGAAACGTCGTAAGAGTTACGATCCCATGAAAGCAGCTATGGAAGGAAAGAGAAAAGCTGGATTAGTAAAGAAAAACACAAATGCAAATCTTTCCCCAAGGTAAGTAGTTTTTGATACCTGTTAATTAAAAAAATGATATAAAAGAATTTTGTTGCTCCATTAATATAAAAAGAAATTGTTTCACTGTGTTGGTAGGACCGATAGCGATCGATAATCTAATGATAGAGACCATCGGTACAAGCAAGTGGTACGAAAAAGACTTGTTTGATTTTGCGATGTAGATTTTTTTAAGAGGTATACTGATATATTTTCTGAATATTTTTGTTATTATTGTATAGCCTCCTGAAAAAATCATATTGCAATAACGCTGCTTTTTGGATTTATTTACTATTTACATTCATTCATTGCCTATTACAATGCACTTTTAATCTATGAATACTATGGATGAGTCACTATTTGATATGATTTTATTCTTTCTCAATATATAACTATTATTCTTTACTTTTGTTACATAAGAAGCATAAAGTCCATATTATTCATTTTTACTTCCTGGTTTTATATACAGATCTTCTAGTGATTTCAACTACAGAGGCATTTCATCGTTTTCATTGAAAGAATATTGCTCATAAGCGATATAGCTAGAGAGTACACTAATACACCTTATAACGAGTGCGCAAAGCAGAAACTTTCCAATCTAGATAGTTGTGGCTTGTTAATGTGATACACAGCTAGATTAATTTTCGAGCCTTATATCGATATGTTTGATTTGCATGATCCAAGAAAGAACCAATGTGCTCTTGGTTTGATGAACCTGTTTCCTGATATTTCTGCAGTCTTTTGTTTCTATTATATAGATGCAATAATCTAATATATTCAAATACTGAGTATTGTTGTTTCACAGTTAATCATTCATTATAGAGCCATACATAAGAGAATAGTTTCATTTCTTAACAATAAATTCATTTTAGTAACTGGTTCTTTCTTCACATAGCTTTTGCTTAAGAAAACATTATTTGCTTTGTTTTTAGTCATGTTGCAAGATCACGCAGTTTCCATGGCTCATCAGGATTCGGAGTTAGTGATTGGAGCGATGAAGAGTTGGCTATATCTGCAGATGAAGCTGCCGCTTACTGAAAGTCATAGGACCGATAATATGAAGTGAATGAGATTAGTTAAAAAGAAATTCAGCTATAGTAATCAATGTATATAAAGAGTAAGAGAATCCGTTCTTACAAAAGTGCTGTATAAATAGTTCTATACATTTAAAATTATATTAAACAGCGAAGAATGTTAAAAAATCTTTTCTATATTAAAAAATTCTATTTTTTGCAACTTTTAACATTAAGACACTATAGATCTATTGGTACCGTTCTAAGTTAAAGCATTGCTATTTAACAAAATTGATGCGTAACTTTATATTAGTAACTCGGTACTCTTACATTTCAGTTTTGCTTCTATCAAAGTTTAAACAGTGATTCGGTATACCAGAATATGTGAAGTTGAGTATCAAATGCTGTGTGAATAAGAAAAGAATATATCAGAATCTTCTGAACTTTGTGGTTAAGAAAATATAGTTCCAATCTTAGGGCCTAAGAATAACAAACGCTAAATATACAAGATCATGTGTGTTATTGGTTTAATTGTGATTGGACCAATCGTATAGTATGGCGACAGTGACATCGTTACATTTTAGGTTTCAGTTTCACTGTTCTGTCCATTTCGAAGTAGCATATTCATCCCATTATTTATAATAACTTTTGAAAATATTTTGTGACAGTAATTTATGCTCTCTAGTTCACTCTAATCAAAACTTATTATTCTTTTATGCATAATTGAAATGAATATATGGTAATAACAGTATAGAAAAATTATTTATTTCTACAGAATAGCCAGTTACTACTTTAAAACAAATTGGGAAAAATATTTATATATATCATAAACTCATATGTGAGCTGTTCGCATTTCAGTGTCATTATTGACGTATATAAAAAGTCAATGCTACTTGCTCCTGAAATGTGCAATGAATCATTGTAATTACTTTTCACATACGATAATTTAATGTGATCATAGCATGCTTTAAGATAATAGTATATATTAAAGTATTATATTTTATTATTGACCAATTTAACTGTACATCTATCCGTTTATTGTGAATTCTGTAAATATTAGGAATTTTTGAATTGATTACTAGAAAAAAAAGCAAAATGTCTCTTGCATACTCGCTTAGTAAGATTAATGCGATTCATGCATCAATATTGATCTGAATAATTTAGAAACGGTAATAAGCGCTGATATGTATGATTATAACATTGTCTATCAAATTTTGATACACTCTTGTTCAAAAGTTTATATTGTTTGGTTGTGCTGCTTGTTGCTCTATTATAAATTTATCGACGATTTCAGATTCTATGTAAATTAGACAGAGTAATTACTTTTTATGTGTTTCTTCTGCATTCTATCTTTTTTACTGCATAATTTTTAATGTATAAATCTTACTACGTCTGCAAAGCCATAAATATTTTCCATTGGTTTGGTAACATTCTGGAAACTACTAAATTTTGTGGAGTGTAAGAAATTGCATATCATTGTACAAAAAGTTATGCAGTGAAAAATATCATATCATATGGTACATATAAAACAAAGAAGTCTCAAGCAAAAGGAGTGTAATATTATATTTTATTTAAGGTTTATTTAAGATTTCATTCGAAAAAAAAGGATTGTATGTTCTACACATTATTATTATTATTATTATTGTGGAAAAAAACTTTGTTTGCTGTATGTTTTGTTGTAATAACCCAAGAAGGTGCTAATTGTAAAGTTTGTTTAATTTAGTTCTCCAAATCCCATATCTCCAGTCAATCGTAAAAAGTTATGTAATTCATAATATGACTACGGTTTCATCTTACAAATAATATTTAACAGTTAATTAATTATAATTTGACCTGGCACAATATACTTCTTATTCGTATATTAAGGGTGGTAAGACCTTTCCCATGTACGAATGAGTCTTCCAAGAATGGTGCAAAATAATTTTTATGTTATAGAACAATATGTTTATGATATAAAGATTTCTAATGCCATGTTGAAAATATCAATGATGCATATAAGTAATATTGTTGCATCTTGTCTTTATATGAATGTTCATTTCATGACCTTCCTTTGAATAAAAGTGGGCTTCCATTGTGAAGATCATTGTGATTATAAAATCGTTATTGCATTAGTTCTTATATACATACAGAAGAATGTATAATAAAGGTAATAATTCTATTCTATTTTCTAATTGCAAAAGTGAGAATCATAATACTTTACAGTTATCGACAATTTTATTAAAATAATAATCAGATGTTTTTACTACTTTCTTAAGTTAATATAATGTTAATGAAGTATGGCGAAGTAAAACAATTTTATTACAACATTTATTATTTTTCTAATGTTGGAAGACACAGAAACATAACTATGTATTAATAAACTGTGTATATTTATGCGTAATGTAGTGCATGAATGTGCAATGTACAATAAAATAAAAACTTTAGCAAAATTTAAAAGTTTTTATTTTATTTCTGAAAAACTTTAATAGATTACATTGATTTCTGTTTTACTGTTGTTTTTTAATAAATTAGTTTATAAAAATTTGAATTCACAAAGTAGTCTACAGGCAACATATTACATAAGAATTCTCTCTTTTGCAACGGCAATATATATGCATTTATATATGTATTATATACACTACACATTTGTATACAATCGTATATCATTTATAGATATAATACACAATTAGCTACATATTACTAAGTCTGTATTTTATTTTTTTGTTTTATTCATGAACATCGAATTATTAATTATACTTTTTATAGATTATACTCAATTATGTATCATACATGACTTTTGAAACTTATTAACTTATGGCTAGAATGACTACCTGCATAAGTATAAAAATATGTTCATACAATATATAGAAAACGTAGTATATTTTTGTATCTGCAATGTTTAGCGGCAAGCATATAATAAGTTTGGTTCTACAGTTAATGATTTTGTATAATAATTTTTATAGATTGCATGATTTATTTTTACTATATACATGCTGCATACCACGTAAAAATACTTATAGTATTCGATATCTTCAAACTACATTGTAAAACATCTTGAAAAGTATAAGAATATAATAATAAATAAAAGATGAACAATATATTATTTGTTTTCTTCGTGAAAATGACAAAAAGCTTCAAAACTTTATTTTCCCACAAAAATTGTTGATTAATTTTTCAATTTCATGAATTATATTTCAACCTTATATACTTCAATTTTTCAATATCTTATATTTATATATCTAGCGTATGTAATATCTGGTAATATTAATTTTTATTTTAATACAAATAGTAATTCAACAATTCAAAAAAGAGAACAAAGTGAAAGTCGTAATACTGGCTGAACATGCGCAGGAAATTGTATTCATGGTGGCGCTAATGTTGATTTTGAGATTCACGTGGTCGTGGTGGATCGTGGATCAAGCGATCAAGAGTCTTGATTCAAGACTGATCAACACTGGTTTGAGGTTTGAGTTTTGAGGCGATCGTGCACGTGAAAGCATGGTATGTTGACTTTTCTGTTTATTGCAAGCTGATTTCTATTGATGTTATAGAGTAATTTAGAGTATTCAATTTAAAGTGATTATAAAATTAAACGATAAAGATGAAAGGTCCTTATAAGGTACGTTATTTGTAATCGAAAACATCTAATAACAGTTTAACCTTATGTGATGCGATTGTCATACGAAAATTGTGCGTTTTAGGCAAACATTAATGATTTCATGAATGCTTCGGACGAATCAGCTGCTGAAAGTGATCATTATTCGAATGATGAGGTTGATGAAGACGATAACGTGGAAACTGAAAACGATGACGGTGATGAAAATGAAAAAGCAGAAAAGGAAGCAAGAAAGAGTACTATAGAAGATATGCACCTAACACTGGATAAAAAAAGAAAAAAGGTTATTGATGATATCACAGATACTGCACCAAAAAAAAAAAAGAAATTTGAGAAAGATCTGTATAAGCCACCAACAGTTGAAGAATTGAATCAACTTAAAGAGACAGAAAATTTGTTCAATTCTAACTTATTCAGGCTACAAATAGAGGAAATGCTAAATGAAGTTAGAATCAAGGACAAGTATAAACATCTGTTTAATAGCTGGTTTGAAAAGTTAGAGAAGACTATAAACTCGATAAAAGAAACAGAGGAATACCGGGTATGTAAGATCATTGAATTATACTATAAATTATTGGAATAAATTAGTTTACTCTAAGCATAACTTTAGCTTTTAGGTAAAAAGTTAAAGAAAAAAATGAAGGTTCGTATTCCAATGCCTAAGTTACCAAAGGAAATGAAAGGAACATTTAAATTTCTTAAACCATCCCAAATTGCTATCATAGGGTCTTATGCATATGATGCTATGATTGGTCTAAACATTACTGTGGATGTAATGATTGAAATGCCTGCAAAAATGTTTCAAAAACAGGACTACCAGAATTACAGATACCTAAAAAAGAAAGCAATATATCTAGCATATATAGCATCTAACATTACTGATGATATTGTAGAGGAGAAAAAGTTCATTGGAGATAGTTTAAGACCAATGTTAAAAATTGTACCAAGTGGCAAATTGGGTACAAAGATTAATGTGTTGGTGCACATAACAGCCCAAGAAGAGAGCTTTAAATTAAATAGATTTCTGCCAGAGAAAAATAGCATCAGACCCGGATGGTTTTTCCAACAGGAAACTAATGGTACATCATAAATATAATCTTTCTTATAGTTTTCATCATTGAATGATTGTTATGAAGATTATTATATTTGCAGAAGATTTACCACCAACACCATATTACAATAGTATTATTCTTCGTGATTTGACAGCCTCGAGAATAAATTTGGAAAATTTAAAAATAATAAAGGAATATCCAAACATAAGAGATGGTGTTATATTATTAAAAATATGGCTAGCTCAGCGTGAATTAATGAAAGGTTTTGAAGGCTTCAATGGATATATCATAACAATGTTTGTTTTATATTTATTGTCTATTAAAAAATTAAATACATTTATGAGTAGCTACCAAATAGTGAGAAATGTGTGGTATAATTTAGGTAAGGTATTTCATAATCAAACACTGAACTATTAGATATTTTCCAAGTATTGATAATTATATCTTTCAATTTATCAGTGCAAGTCAGTTGGAGTGAAACTGGAATCACAATGAGTTCAGATGAACATAGTAAAAATAGAATTGCAAATTATAAAAATTATTATGACTGTGTATTCCTCGACAGTACTGGCTACCATAACATTGCAGCATATGTATCCAAAGCTACTTTCTCTTGGATTCAAAAGGAAGCAGATATCTGTTTGCATCATTTGGATAGTGCACATGCTGATAGTTTCCAATCTCTTTTTATGAGAAAAGTGCCATTCTATAGGGCATTTGATCATCTGATACGGTAATTACATAAACACAAGAATTATTTATACTGTTTTCAATAAGACTGTAATATTAGTTAAATATTTAGTTTTAAAGATACTCAGGCAGTCAAAAAAATAGTAGATAATATGTCGAGTAGCAATGATAAATTAAATTATGGACCAAATTACCGCAATCAAGCAATAAATGTTATTTCTAATATGCTGAAAAAAGGGTTGACAAATAGAGTGTATCAAATTTGTGTGCTGCCAAAAGAGTTTAATGAATGGGAATGTGGAGAAAAGGATTCTGATGATATTGGAGAAATTTTTATTGGATTGGAATTAAATTCAGAGAATTGCTATACTGTTGTTGACAAAGGCCCAGAAGCAAATTTACCAGAAGTGAGTAAATACCTCGAATGGAGTAACTACGTGTATTAGAATTTCTATAATGGCTTGACAATCATATTGTAGGCAAAAGAATTTCGAAACTTCTGGGGACAGAGATCAGAACTGCGTCGATTTAAAGATGGATCTATCCGGGAAGCTGTAGTTTGGTTCAGAACCAAAACAGCTTCGGGAAAAAGACTGATATGTAGGAGAATTGTAACTTTTCTATTGACTAAAAAGCTTGGTTTCGAAAGGGATCAGTTTGTGTACATTGCGAATGAAATGGAAGATTTTCTAAAACTGAAAAAGGTAATAATAATGATCCATATAAATTTAGTACATCTACTAATGAGAAATTCGTCTCGTTATAATTAGGTCCAGGTAACACATTTCGCTTATGGCACTGGAGAAGAAGCCACGCTAAGAGTAATAAATGCGTTCAATAGCCTTGAGAAGGAATTGATGAATCTGTCGGATATTCCTTTATCGATCCACGGAGTCCAAGGATCTAGTGCAGTTTTTCGATACACGGATGTTTTTCCACCAATAGCGACAATTAATCGACCGGATAATAAGTTGATTAAGGAAAGTAAAAATTCTTTAGTATTATCGGAAAACGCAACTGCAGCACCCAGATACATTCCTCCACTCGAAGTGTGCCTGCAGTTATCGACGAGTGGAAAATGGCCAGATGATTTGGAAGCTTTTAGAAAAACGAAGGGCGCTTTTCATATACAGATTGCAGAATGTCTTCGGAAGCAATATGGATTAGTAGTGAATGCAAACTACTCGTACATCGATGTGTACAAGGTTACTACATTTAATTCTTTATCATACAGGGTGTTTTAGGATTTTTTTTGTTTTGAATAAAATTGTTGAAAATGGTGATATATTATTAGGAAGGATATGTGTTCCGAGTAAGAATAGCGCACCAAAAGGAAATTAGTTCTTTAAAGCAACAAATAACCGAGGATGGAGTTAAACAGTATAAAGATAATGACGATTCAATTGAATTAGAAAGTAAATTGTTCGAATTACCGAAATTAACTAGCGCTTTACATGGGTAAGGATAATTAATTTATATGCTAAAAGAAGGTTTATAAAATTGTAAAGAAATGATTTTACTTACATGGTAGACTACATGTTCAACAACCATCATTGGGAACAGCTTGTTGTTTAACAAAACGATGGCTTTCTGCCCAATTATTGGACGATTCTCATATACCAGATATCGTAGTTGATTTACTGGTAGCTTCAATGTACTTAACACCGGCACCGTATAGACCACCTCAGGTGCCTCAAGTAGCATTTTTGAGGATGTTAGAATCTTTTGCGAGAGGTCACTGGAACACAGATCCTGTGATTGTCAATTTTAACAATGAAATGACTAGTAAGTATTAATAGCAGTAGTAAGGATTATTATGTTTGCTGTTGCTAATATACTACCCATAATCATAGGAGAGGAAATTATTGCTGTGGAAACTTTATTTGGATCGTCTCGAAATTCTTTACCACCATTATTTATATCTACTCCTTATGATCAGCAAAGATCACTATGGACCAGAAAAGCGCCTACCACTCTGGTTTTAAATCGTATTACTGCTTTAGCAAGACAATCGCTAAAATTATTTGAAGATCAACTGTTTACAAAAGCATTGTTAGATGTTAAGCCTTTATTTAGGCCACCCCTCACAGAATACGATTGCTTAATACATTTGAAGCCACTTATGATTCCTAGAAGAAGGCAGGCAATTGATGTTAGTGAAACATACTCTCTCTTTGATGTACATCCATATAAGAAGCACTATGCACAGAAGATTCCAGTTGTAGATTTTGATCCAGTACAATGTTTCTTAAAGGAACTAAGGGTAATTTTAATTATTAATTCTATATAGTATTATATGTTAATATTTTGATGATTTCTTAATTCAATATTGTATGTTCGTCTTTTCAGAATGGTTATGATGAATTTGCATTATTCTTTTATGACACCTATGGTGGTACAGTAATTGGAGTGTTGTTGAAACCTTCTGCTTTAGAAACTAATGACTTTAAAGTGTCAAATATTAACTGTCGAATGTGTAATGATAATGGTCAATTAGTTTTAAATATTTCAGCAATGATTCAAGACTTCTATGTACTTGGAAAAGGTCTGATAGAAGCTATCGATGTTCGATCAAAAAGGTTTTCCTTGACATAATAATTCTTTCAAGAAATATTAGGCTACATGTTACATTAATGTAAATGAATTGTAATATAAATATACAAAAATTACCTTTTTTTTATTGTACAAAGAACAGTGAATATACAATTTGAAATGTATATGATAATTATAAATATCTTTTTTACAGTATGTACTTGTCTTCTAATTTATTTATATAAATTCATAATAAATCATAAAATTTATGATTCAAGTTCTACTATCACAAAGTATTACAAAAGAACACGTTATATTGATTCTAAATGGCTGTTAAACTTTAAGTAGAATTGTATATTAATAGATTTGTAAACGTGTAAAGTAAAACTTAAAGATATTCATTTTATTTATTTCAATAAATATACACGTATATGTAGATGGGAAAAATGATAAAATATTCTATAGTGCTATATTATTTTACTATTCTGTAAATTATTTTTATATATTTTTGTTAATGTTTATAAAAATTAGTAGTATACTATATTATACTACTTCAACATTTGAGATCTTATTTCAGCATTTAATTTTATTATAATTGCATCTTCATACGTGTAACTACCAGTCTTTAGGAGAGAATCTCGTTCCTCAATTAACGCTTGCAATCGTTCATCCTTCTCTTCTGACTGTTTTAATAAATGTTTACTATTGCTTTGTGGTATTCTTGGACCCATAGTAGTCGGCGTGAAAACCGAACTATAAGGATCTATTTCAATGTAGGATGGTTTCTGTTTAATTACATCGATTTCCTTTTGAATTTGGTTCAATGTAGTTTGATCATTAGTCAAAGCAGTGGAATCTGCACACAGTATCTCCTCTAAACTGTATAAGAAATAACAAATGTACGTTTTATTTTAGCAAAGCTTCATATATTAAAGTTCTTTTGTAAAAAACGATACATACTCTAAGTTTTCCAATTCTTCTTTACTATTTTTTATCTGAACTTGTATAGCTTCCTGATATTCTTGCTTCAGTCTATGTATTTCACGAACTGCCGTTGCCCACTTACTTTTAAAAAATGATTTACTATCTTGTGCATGTTGCAACTTTTCCTCGAGTGTTTTTAATTCTTGTAATAAAGTTGCTGTTTGATGTTGCGTTAAAGATCCTTTCTGATAAGTTTTTAATTCTTCTGCTTGTTTTGTTGCAAGTAACTGCAATCTTTCTCTTTCTGTACTTAATTCTTCAACTTGCGTTTCTAAGATAGTTTTTCTTTTTTCAAGAGCACTGATCTACAAAGTGTTAAAAATGTATAATTTTCTATATCTTATAGAAGATTAGTATGTTACTGACCTTTGACATAAGTTCGTCTTGCATTGTGTGATACGACTCTCTGAGCTCGCGTAATTTTGATTCATACGACCAATGTAATTCTTCATTTGCTTTAATTAATCTCGTCTCCTTTTCAAGGCTCTTTAATCTCCGTGTTCTTAAGTCTTCTGTGGCGTTGTTTAAACTATTTGCTAACATTTTACATTGTTTAACACTACACGCAAGTTTTGCTTCTAAACTTTCTTTATGTTTTTGCCATTCTTGACTTAATAAATTTAAATGACGATCCTCCTTCCTTTTCAACTGAATTGTGAAGAAACCTTATATTTATTACATGTTATCCGTGGACGTAGTTATATTCATATCATATTTTACCTCAACTTTGAATATTTCCTTTTGACGTTCCTTCCATGTTTCCAACTCATCAACTATTTTGTATGCTAAACTGTCATCTAAGATTGGGGGTCCTAAATTTTCATCTAATTTAAATGAGAGTATAACGAAATATAATAAACGCTTTGGTGTAATTTATATGCTAATGTATGAGGAACTTACTCGGTGTTTTTTTCTTAATTCTATAATATGGGCCATGATCTTCTAAATTCATTGCAATATCTAAGTTACCAACAATACTTTGTTCCTTATCATACAATTGTATTTCACATTGACATTCAGTCTGAAAAACGTGGGTATAACTTTAGTCTACATGTGCATATGTTTGTAAAATATTATCCCCTTATGTTAAATTACCTTGCTTTGACAAATTAATTGTTTCACATCTACTACACATTCAGCAATACAAGTTTTAGGGCCTTCATCTATTTTATATATACTAATTTTGGGCGGGAAAGATGATAATAAATGTTTAATTTCATCTGTTGCTGATATAAAATGGAGTTTACATCCTATATCTTGTAACTTCACGTTTTCCCCTATTACAATTGATATTTTCGGATGAAAGGTTGATGCGATTTCTGTCTTTGGATGATGAAACCTGCATTCAATATGAAATACATTTTTAGCAATGTAAAACATTTGAATTTCGATTTTCAAAGTAGTACATACTGAATTTCAATATTTGGTACAGTTAGTTTTGGAGATACTGATTTAATGGCTATCAATACAATGTTTAAACAATAGCAGTGATAAGCTTCTACACTTTTCGAACAATCATTGAACCTGCACTGACATGGTAACTTGTCAACTGATTGGGAATATACAGGCTTAATTTGTTGACTTCTTATATGTTCATAGCTTAAGGAGTGTTTATTAAGCACGCTGCAACCATTTGAGAAACTGACCATTGGAATTGCAGTATTGCATGTTCCAAAGTCACCAGCTGGATTTCTGTGATAATCTATTTCACTATAATTCTGTAAATCATATATAAGTGGAAGTTAAAATGTTTATTCTGGAATTTTTTTTTTGTTAATTTTAATTTTCACAAATTTAGGTTCACAGATTATGATGGAACGACTTACTATGTGTTTCAAATTATGTGTTTGTTCTTTAGTAGGATTAAGAGGGACTGTATTGCTGAATACTGTACTTGGAGTGTTCATTATTATTTCTGTTTTACCTCCAACATACTGCAATTTTAGTTGTAAATCAAGGTACGAATTACTACATTCCGTTTCACCGTTTTCATTAAGTTCCTTTTTGTATAGGTAACATCGGTAGTTTAAAATATTACTATTATTTTCAGAAGTTTTAAGAAACTCTTCAATATTATCAGTAGAAACTAGTGGTTGCAAATTAACTTCTGACTGAGCTATTATGTTATCTTTATACTTCAAATATATAATCAAAAATGGTTTTACTTGTAGGTATGATTTCAAAACTTTTAACAAAGTCCTGATCCTTATTACAATTTTCTCATTGAGTATCCAAAATTCACCATATTCTCTTTTCGACTGATTAAAGTATACATGATTTTCTAATATTTTACACCAAAAATATAAATTATTTTTCATGTCCAAGTAATATTTTTCTGGTAATAATAAATCTGTATTTGCTGCAGTTATGGCTGCAATGTTCATCAAAAATAACTCATGACAAGTATCTAAGGGACCTAATTGTATAAGCCGTTCATCACGTAGTAAAATTGGAGTTATTTTATCAGCATCAAAATTTGTTTGCTTGATTTCTTTTGCATTCTTTGACTGTAATTGCATATATCATGTCAAATTTGCAAATGTTTATATTACCTAGACATATTAGACAAAGTCTTACTCGTAAATGATGATATACATATTTACCTCTATGTGACAATTTAATGTTGTAGACTCTTGATCATGAATACTTAAACCAAGAAGTAGCTCAGGTTTGTGTATTTTCAAATCGCTTCTAAGTCCTAATAGTTTATACCAACTGGTTTTTACATTATCACCTTCATTTTTAGAAAATACCTGTGCAGATCGTAAACTGAGTAAGAGGTATCCCAATTTCTCTTTACTATCAAGGCCTTTAACAGCAAAACATTCTAATTTTAATGGGACTTGTCCAGATCTCATCCTACAAAATTAACATCAGATTGTTAGAATACATTCTCAGCATCTACTTTCTTTTTATAGTACATACTTCCGCAGTCTATTTTTATCTATTTCCCAAACCAAGTCATGGTCATATTGGGGATTAGGGCTTGGACTTATTGTTTCAGTTTCTAACAAGTGTCCATTTAAGGTGGCAGTTACTAACGTTGGTAGTATAATTTGTTCAAAACCTTTACCTGCAGTTATCAACAGAATTTCAAAACTTTTGAATATTATATTATAACATATTTAAATCACTTAACAATTAAACACCCTGTCAACTTAACAGAAACATTGAACATAAAAGGCCTTCTAGGCCTTTGCTTCATGAATATTCAAAAATATATTTGAAAAATCTATAGTTTTATTTATTACAATACATTCTTTTACAAGTAATCTGTATTAGCTTACAATTACTTCAGTATATAACAATTCTTATTACAGAAGGGTTAATAAACAATTATCTGTAAAATTTACCTTCCTTTATGTTCAATACAATTCGTACGTCGGAACTTGGTAATTCTTCCATGGCACTATGATAAAATACACAAAAATTGTAAAAGTAATCTATGCAAATAGTTAAGATATATCAAAGAAATCGGTAAAATTCAAATCGGTTTCCATGGAAACGCGAGCATTTAATGTCACAACATATTCCATTCAAAATGTCATGATTCAGTTAAGCAACCAATACGGTTTCAGATAGACAATCCTACTTAAAGATAACAATTGACAAAAATTAACGGCTGCCACAAATTTCTTGTTTAGAAGCATGCTACTTTACTTTTACTATCACATTTGAAAATTCAAATCAAGGTCAAGGTAGATAATTAGCTGAGCATGATCGCTTGGTAACATATTACAATTTTCAACGACATTATCTTTTCTTCAATTCAGTAGAATCACGTATAACTCAATAGAATCAATAAACTCATATGATCTGAAATACAGTGCAGACTTTTTTGAAAATATTCGTGGGACATGCGAAAAATATATGACAGGGAAGAAAAAAAAACTAGTTACACCAATGAAAAAATTGTTAGGAGGGGGCGCATTCATTATAATTATAGATAGGTTACTCTCCTAGAATAGTGGATTGTATTATAGCGCCAATTGCGGCATGTTTCATAAGTAAACGTGGGCGAGGGAATTAAAAAATTTATTTGAATTTTGAACTTTGAAATAGAGCTGTACCCGATTGACTCCGTTTATAATAAATTGTTCTAGGCCATCCATATGCGAATAATCATATATAGCATCGCGAGCCGGCTCTAGCATATTGTAGCTCAGACATCAATTGATCGTTTTCATCGACAGTGTTTTATTACATACGGTATGTATCTGAGGGTAAAGGAATGTGTAGAGATAGACATATGTCTGCCTCCGCTCTAGTTCACGCATGTTAGCTAATTATGGTTGTTTTCATATCTACTTGTACAATACAGAATTTAGAAGAATCTTTAAAGAGAACTTTTAATATAATAAGTTAATTTCTGTATGATTCTAGCTTCTGTATATTATGCCATAAAATATTATATTTGTATAAACATTAACAATATAATTATATAAAAATATAGGACGTCCCAGTGATGCTATGATGTATGACAGTCACTTTCCAACTTTGTTTCTGAGATACAGTATTTGTTATTATTTATACCTGCTTAATAGTTGTGCAGTTGGTACAATATTCTTTGTATTTTGCACGTCTCGTGTGAGTAATAAGTATAGTAATAATAATAGTAAGGTATAGCAAGGGCTACCCTTCAGTTTCTATGACGGACCAAAGCTCGTAAATACAAATAACTGTTAATTAACACTGCGTCGGTGAGGATGTAACTCTCGACCTTAGGATCCTCTTGTTGTAAGTTTCTATATAAATTAAAATAAAATTTAGATTTCCCTCTCCCGTATGTACTTATGTAACACGCTGTAATTAGCGCTGTAATACAACCCCGTATAACTAGGAGATTTATCCATCTATGTAAATATATTCATCAATAATGCCTATACATCGTTAACGGCCGTTGAAAAGGGAGGGCGTCAGCGTCGCGGTAGGACCAGGTAGGACGTTGGGAACGCGGCCTTATTTCGTATCTGGTTGGCAGCACTGTCGGCCTCGTAACAAATCTCACCCATGTCGAGTCGAGCGCGAGAGACAGGAGTGTAAGCTTGTCCGCGACCGTTTGTCCGCGTTCGACGGCTCTTTCGAATAGCGTGCGTGCGATCGTTCGAAAGTACGGTAGAGCCAGAAGACGCAGACGTGTCCGTATGACCGAGGTTTCAATGGATAAATCCAGGAAGTGGCGTAGGGAGGCATAGAGTGAGAAGACCGCGAGGGACTACTCGGTTACTCCGGGCTCGTGTGTGGGCAATACAATAGCCGATCGGGCATACTGGTGGTGACACGACTGCGGACGTTTCCTTAGACAAGAAAGAGAACAGACGAAGTTCGCGAGGTGTATATGGTGGCTGTGTGCGTGCGTGGTCACTGGGAAACAGTTTCAGAGCCGCTTCGGCGGCGCTCCCCGAATCTTTAACCGCAGAATCGTAGTCGTCCGTCGCGGTGGTGGTAGTGAGGCAGGCCTATCGCGGTCTGTCTATCGGGCCACGAGAGATTGAGCAGTACGATCGCGATCGCACGCGGCAGGCCCGTTTGTAATGGAGGTGGTTTCCGAGTGTGTTCCCATGTACGAGAACAGGTCACGGCGATGCACGCCGTATTAACTGAAACGCGATATTTATCTTTGACTATTCCCCCCGGCCGGCCGGGCGAGAAGAGAGCCAGGTCGAAATTGGTATGGAATCGTCCAGGGTTCTCGACACGACGAACATTCGGCCCCGTCTGTGATAACCACTAGCCGCTTAGAAACAGATAGAAGAGGAACAAGCAAAAGAGGAGGAAGAGGAAACCGAGCAAGAAGAAAAAAGGGATAAAGGAATATATAGCTGTGTGTGTGTGTGTGTGTGTGTGTGTGTGTGTGTGTGTTTCGCGCGTGTTCCTCCTCCCTAGTCTTGTCCTCCTCTATATCCTATATGAATTAAGTGTAAACAGTTTTTCCCGAAATCTGCTTGGAGGTTAGGATAGCATGGGGATTGATCCTCTGAAGGCATCGACCGACGAACCGTGACACCTGCGACTCGCCGCGTACACGGTGTGTCTCTCCTGCTCTGTGCGTGCGTGCGCGTCCCTCACCGCGGTTCTGTGTGTGTGCGTGTATTCCTCCCCAGGAACCCGCTGGAGTATTATTTCCAACGGCGGTTGTCCGAGGGAAGACGGGAAAAAAGAAATATGTCAAGAATGGGGATCGATCCCCGATACGACACTGTACAACGTCGCGACCATTAAAAATCGACCGTGAAAAGGAAAAGGGGGTTTTTATTGCCCGACGCGTGTTTCTTGGGGGGGAAGATTTTTGTTCGACCGTTGAATCGACCGTGTTTTCTCTCGCCTCCACCCGACAGTTGACGCGGTTTGTCGCGAATATTTGGCCACGACGGAGGAGAACACAGTATAGCAAAAATGCAGAAGAGAGACGGTAGAGAGACACGCGAGAAGGAGTTCGCTAGGAGCCCTGAACGCGACCAGGAAGCCGCCAAGAGGATCTCTCGTTTCGGCGGGAACGCAGGGAAGTCTCAAGTGCCTTCCTCGAGGCATAGTGTCGCGTCGTCGTCCAATGTGTTGACAGTCGGTCCCAACTTCCGTGTCGGCAAGAAAATTGGTTCCGGCAACTTCGGGGAACTTCGCCTCGGTAAGTCGATTGTCTTTTTACGTTATCCTATTGTCCTTTTTCCTCTTATTGAGATGCGCCACCGAACGGGACTATTTACTTTATCGAACCTACCGAGTGCATGCAATATACTCTCACTGGAAGAAATATAGTGTGATCGTGAAATCAATCGCGAACTGAACTGCATATGTTTCAAAGACTGGACAAAAGAATTGATTAGGAATTACAGGGTGTAAAGAGTCTTGGGCTACATCGAGTTTCATGTGTACTGTCAAAATTTGGTATTTTTTCAATATTTCGCGTATTTCAATTGCAGGTCAATAGATATTTAACTGTTACAAGACAAATTCATAAAGTAGTTCTTGAATTGTTTTTAACTCTTACTTCTGAAGCTTTATTATTTTTACGAAAAGTTAGTTTTTGGGATAAAAGTTACTCAGCTTCCAGCATGCAAAGGTTAAATGTAGAAGGAAGCTTCAGTGTTGCAAATGTTAATTAAATTTTGTAGCTTTCCTACTAGCAACATAAGTACCGTTCGTTATTAGTATTATCTTTTCGAGGTGCTAAAATGGAGTAATGTGTGCAGCTCTGTTGCTGTCACAATCACATTGTATTGCTTCCACCGCTATACAGTGAGTAACAAAAGTAGACGTCTGCGTTAAGGGGGTATTCTAGTGTAGCCGGGGAAAAAAGTCAACTCTTTTTCTTGCGTTTTCTTATAATTTGGTGTCTGGAAAATTTGTTCCTAAAGCAGTATGACGAAATTCATAAAATAAAGCGACAAACTTTAAACGCGTTTCTCTCGAAACCATGTTTTTCAAGACGGACGAACAGTTGTCTCAGGAATCGCTGGACCGATCGACTTGAAATTTGGACTCACATGTAGAGTACATTTCTGGCTATCGTCCGACCTAGAAACTTTTTTGGTATCTTTAAAAATTATTATTCTTCCGGGGTACAAGATATACAAATTTTTTTTACTCAAAATCAAACGTTCAACTGTAAAGCTCTGTAATTTTGTCAATGTTGTTTTTAGATTATTTATCCTAAGTCGAGCGATAGCCACATTCATGGAGAATAAAACGCAATGTTGTTGGTTTTTTTCAGACGACTAGGACCGGACGCAATCAATGCGCCCGATGGAACAAGTTTTTCGTGACATGACCTGCTCGCCTATTTATAACTCTTATAATTGTTACTAAAATGTCTTACAAAAATTTGTGCTTTTACTCTATACGTATATAAAAATATATGCAAAAGCAGAGCTTGCTAGATTTGATGGTTTTCTTGAAATTAATTCCCAAAAAGCATGGTGAAAATGGCTGTCTACACTAGAATACCCCCTTCAATGTAACATATATTTGGTCGATTCGTATATAAGAGTTTCATTTATCTTGACTACTACAAACTACTGTGTATGGAAGGACATTACTCACGTTTTGTACACGGAAAGTTGTATGGTCGTTTTCATTCTCCTTAATTGTGTTTGTGTGAGAATTGAAATTCGGAAAGTTGTCCAATTAACAGGTTAAATCATTGACCTATGTTCGAAATACATATAATTTATAATTCACTGTTAAGTCCTCGGACGGTGTTTTGTCGTGAAACTAAAAGCAGAAGTTAATTACAATTTAAATCAACAACTAAACGCAGAATATGTTTTGTTATGTATATAGAGTGTGTTCGTACAGTTGGAAATCAATTCAGGTTTGCAATTCAGCGAAAGACTATGAAAAAAAAGTTTTTGAAGGCACTCGACTCGTTTCAATTCGATCTCGCGTTTTAACCATTTTTCTGTTCCAATGAAATCGAGTTTTAATGCGATTGGTTTCGCTGAAATTCGTATAGAAATAAAAGTAGCATACATCACGCGCAGTATTGTTAACATATAATGCAGACGTGAAATAAATAACGGATGAATACAGGAACAGCTGCGATTCGATCGTGATGGGGAGTATGTAGGTCGTGTGCTTGTGTCAACTATTTTTTTGAAAATTGTTTTTTAATGTTCAATTTGTTCGTGAAGTGGGTCACCCGGTATGACAATATGAATGGTAACAGATTTTTGATGGTACATTCCGTATAGCAGTGTGGAACGTTAACCATTTGTGCTCGATATATTTTATGGCCAAATATGCTATGTCAAATCATAGCAATATTGTCACTTGTCGACACACTGGAAAATAAAATTGAAAAATATTAAAAATAAATTAATTTATCGATCCATAGCTTATATGTATGTACTCTCACAATGCTGTAAACACTTACTTGTCTTTATTCAATATATAAATCGGTCTATATGTAATAGTACAAGCTGTAAGGTAATAATAATTAAGAATAAATTGTACATGGTATTTATTGTTCAATAAGTGCTACGTATTCATACAGTTCAATGGTTATGGAAGTCTTTAGTATGCATTTCGCTGACTACACATTCAGTGTTAGGTTTCATAGAAGTTAGAGACAGTCTCAAAGCTGCTTCCACTTGCAAATGGTTCTTGTGGTTCCAGTGAAGAGTATAAAGTACATACTTTAAACGGTTTTTCACTTAGTGCTGGATATTCTTTACAAATTTCTCATCACAGATTGGGAACCACTGTTTAAAGATACACATTCTGTAGCAGTATGTATCCCACCAGGCATTTAAAGGTACACATTCTATAATAGTATCTATTGCAATCGGTATTTCCAGATATGTCTAATACGATATACTGCTTGAATGAGCAGGTGTAAATCTCTCATAAAAAAAGAAAACATTAAGAATACAAAAAGACCAGACCAAGCAAATACAGTTCAGGATTTATCAAAATATTTATGTCGGTCGCAAATCATTTTCGAAACGTACTATTTGACGTTCATTGTATACATCAATGATTCTATTCACTGTCACACATCGCCACGACCTTTATGCGGACAGTAACGATGGCGGTAGCTGACACTTGAATATCTTAATTAGTCTGTTTGGCACGGAGCGAATTGAGTGGTCTGGGAAACGTGAATTCGTGGTTGAATTTATTAATCTGAATAGGGATACTCCAATTGGTTTGCTATTTCCAACGACGATGATGAGAGAAGTGTAAAATAACATCAAAACGCTTTTGGTTCATCCGTTCATTAAAACAAGAAATGAACATCTGAATAATAATTTTTTTGTACATCTTCAAATTCCGACCAGTATTTAAAATTTAAACTTTAAATACACGGATGAAGATACAATTAGGCCAGAAAAAGCTGGAGAATCGTAGTAGGATTGTAAAGATTGAATCGGTAATGGGTTATAAAGGACCCAAAGGGTCGAAGAAAGGTTAAAAATAACTTTTTTCATTAGAAAAGAGTATTTGTTTAAAATATTAATTTTATTCGCTGTATTCGAGGTAACGAAGCGGCTATCTCTCCACTCGCCTTTAGCTTTCGAACGTCACCTCAACTCATGCGGAATCCACTTATCCGTCTTCTTCACTTTGCCGATCTTTTCCGAGGAACGGAACGATCGTGGAATGACCGACGCTCATTTGGCGGCTGTTTTATCATCATTTTCAGTAATTTCTTTTAAACGTTTCTACTTACACCGTTATTTATAAATAATTAGATAATTACATAGAACACTTATTCGATGTGAAATAATCGTAAAAGAAGATTATGAAATTATTGAAGATCTTGAATTGCGTTTTTCTTGCGATCAGATATAAGTAAGGTGTTATCCGGATAATAGACAGCGAGTAATAGCAGAGTCTTAAAGTTCATTCGCCGTGTCCGTCTCTTTGAAGAATTATCGTGGACGTTAGTGACAGAGTATAACCGTTTAATTTTAGGACACCCTGTATAGTAGATCAAGGTGAATGTATAAAAATATAAATAATAGTGAAGATGATTACCAAAAGATTCACAAGTAAATGAATCGACTAGAAAATTAGGGATGAGAGTAGGAAAGGGTGTTTTGGGGTGATATGGATTTCCAGGGTGTTAAAAATATAAAAATAATATTTTTAACACTGAAAGTTAGTCAAGGACATAGGCTGTATAGATTGTAAATACTTATGAATGGATGAATCGTCCAGAGTATCATAAAAGCAGCACATGGAATGATAATTCAAGGTAACAATCATTTATAGGGTGTTCAAAGATTTGTTGCATTTTAGTAACCCACTAAATACGTAACATGCAAGTGTATTGGGTCAGTGCAGAAGTTTTTATATGTTTTTCTCTAAAAGAGTAGACTAACAATGCATTTAATTATAATTTAATGAAATACATGATGATTCTTTTATAATATATGTATTTTCAAAAAAATTTTTATTCTAATGAAGAAATTTTTGGAATATTATTATTTAGTGAATTTATTATAATTAAATTATGTTACGAAATTTACAGTTTACCACAGTGTGGAATTAACATACCCAACAGCTTCTCCAAACAGATCACAAATGTTTTTTCCTGCGTTTATAACATTTATTCCCTTCATTTTTAAATATCATTTTACGATCCCAATTTCAATTTTATGCTAAATAATAAATTAAACACATTGTCAGTCGCGTCAATTTCTGTTCTAAACAACAAGTCACTGCGTTTCGTTGACAACGACACGTAATATATTAATAAAATTTGTTTATTGTTTTCATAAAACCATGGTGATCACATCATCCATAGAAAATCCATCGAAACTTTTGCACTGACCCAATATACATATTTTATAATCTCCGCGTGGACTACGGGTGTCTATTGTAAATTCCCAATTTCATACAAAGAAGCATTAATTTCTGTATGAAAAATTGTATCAATGTAAAAATCAAACAAATATGTTTGTCGTGTCTTACACATTTGTGTATATTTCGATTGCATAAAACAACCAGTCTAGCAACATGCATTTCGTTGTCACGTCTCTGTACAAAACTCGTGTGTATACTCAGTTACCAATATTCGCTAACGATAATGTTTACAATTCAATTACATCGGTGGGGGGGGGAGAAGTTTACAAGTACGTACACAAACAGGACGGTGTTGTATCGCGAATCGTCGTCCGA